TGCTTCCCCCCCCCTGCCGATCCCACCCTGTGTGCTTCCCTGGGTTTTCTGCCTCTCCCTCTGAGGACTGATTCCATGTTGCTCACACCTAACTCTTACTGCTCAGCAAGTAGGTGGGATCTTTTTGGGCACAATGTGTGTTTTTTCAGATCACTATAATGTTTCCACAAAGGAAAGTGTCTGAGATACCAGAAACTCTGAAAGAAACTCTGAGACTATAAACCAGATGTATGCTTCCTGGGCCTATCCAAACAGGTGATTAGGGGGAGTGGTGGGCCTCTGGAAGAAGACTGCTTCTAGTGAAAGACAGACCCACCAGTTGGCAGCTATGTGACTTTTGTTCAATTTCTCAACTTCTCTGGACTTAATTTTCTCTTTTATAAAATGGGTATAATACATAATCTACCTAAAATGGTTTGGGGAGGATTAAAGTTTACATTATACACAAATTCTGTATAGATGTTCAGTTCTTTTCTTAATGGGATAGAAGCATTGAATGAGGAAAGAGATGGGGAGAGAGGATGAATGAGAGAGAGAGGGTGAAAGGAGAGAGATTTTTGACAGGATCTTACCATGCCTCAGTCCTGTCTGGGGCTCTGAGTTAGCACCACAAACGTGGGCCACTGCAGCTTATCTATTTAGCCCAATCTAACTGGTTCAGGAACAGGAAGAAGCCTCCCAGGCAGCCTCAGTCACTGCACAGTGGCCACTATGGCTGGACCTGTTTACTATTTCTGATCATCTTTACCTTTCCTTCAAATGTCATACCTGGATCAAATTGTTTTCAAGGTATTAATAATGGTCCTTACAAAATGATTTATTGGTGGCTGGCCCCATGGCCTAGTGGTTAAGGGAGTCAGATCCCACATGGCCACATATGCAGTTCAAGTCCCAGACCCAGGAGCTTGATGAGCACACCAGGCATACGTGTATGTGCCCAGAGTCTTGGCACTATGGAGAAGCAGATGCAAAAGGAATTGTGATATGACCATACCCATTGGGAGGTTCTCTCTTTCTCTGTCTCTCTCTGGCAAGAGCATATGTCCTCTGTAAACGTTTTTTTAAAAAATAAAAAGAATTTTAAAACGTTTCTTTGTCGCTCTCATTTTGCTTCTCATCGATTCAGGTTTCCCTGGGGCTTCTGCATGCCCATGCTACACACATTCTGTGGCCTCCAGAGCGCTGGCAGAAATTGGAATCTGTTCTTCCTCCAGAGCGCTTTCCAGTTCAGAGTGAAGAGGAATGACACCGTGGGCCTACCTGACCTGCTGGCATTGGGATACCAAACACAGGAAGGGGAATGGAGAAGAGAACCTTCCCAAATGGAACAGTCTCCAACACCATGAGGCTGTGCAAACCTATCTCACTTAAGATAATCTGTCTTATGAAAGAAAAAATAATTTAAAATATTGAACAGTATTAAATAACACCCGATTTTGTGTTAACTTCTAGTACTCTACTGTTTAGTGCAGAGCTTGGGAATATGAAAATACTGTATCCATATGTCTTAAAATGGTGAACTCGAGATCATTTGTTATACATACTAAGTGTATTGATTGTTGGGTTTTGATTTTTCTGCTTACTGCTTAAAGATTTTGAAAATTAACATTTGATGAAAACAATTTGCTGTTTGCTGTCAAGATAGACCATGAAAATACATGTTGTACATACAGTGACAGGGATTATCATTGACAGCATCTACAACGCAGTGACTGCCAGTTAGGAAGAACACATAATGTCAAAATAAAACAATGATTCATTCAAGTCTTGTTTTTGGTGTTTAATTATCATTTAACCTATATATCCATTTATGAGGACTATACGATCTCTTCTGGAAGTAATGAATTAAAGTAATGAAGAACCAATTTTATCAATACTTCCATGCAATCAAACCTTTGTTATTGGCCCTTTTTAATCTAAAACTTCTGAGTGATCTCATACTTATTCATGATGATGAACATTTATCAGCATCCAATCACTATTTGGTAAAAAGTTCTCAGTGAAATGGGAAAAAATTACTCTAGAACAATCAAGTTTTCTTTTCCTTTTCTTTTTCTTTTAAGAGATTTATTTGATATAGGATACATATACTCACCAGAGGCAAAGAAAAAGAAAGAGAAAAAGAGAAGTGAAAAATCATCCGCTGAGGAGATGGTCATACCACAATCTCTTCTTCTCTATTCTCCTCTTGAGATTTTTGGGCATACATACACACATGAAGTATGAGTTTCAAGCTACTGATTCTGTGACTCAAACTACAGTCAGCCATGTGGGAGTCTAGCACCTTGACCACTACACCACCTGCTGGCCCCAAGTTTGATTTCCCTCCCAAGTGATTTCTCAGCGTTCATGTCTATAATCCTAAAATCACCCATTGAAAAGAGGAATAATTGCAGAATAATAGATTCTGTAATTTGTACAAATAGGTACATTTCCTGCATGCAAGTCTGTATTTATGAAGCCTTTTTTCTCTTTTCTTCTCATTGGTTAGAAGTTTGTGCTAATGAGAACAGTTTCTGGATCAATTCCCTTTGTCCACCTGGTTTCTTTTTCTTCTCTGTTGGCAGGAAAAATCCCAGATAATGACCAGCCATCTTGTAAATGCAAGTACTAACTCATTATTAGCAGGCAGAAACAGAAAGAGAATAGGGGGAAACATGCATACTAAGAACATATGTTACAACTAAAACTTCATTCGTATCATGTTAGTTAATTCAACAAATGATGATGAACTTTTATGTTGGTCAGAATTAGAGTTTTAAAGCACATCTGCATATAAGTTTTGATGAGTCTTCATTAACTTTCTCAATTTTTTTATCCTAGTTCCTCTTTTCCTCTATTTTATCTTCATACTCTAGCCTTTAACTGCAATATACCAGACACTCACTGATATTTTAAGGCTATATATATTTTTTCTTTCTTTCTTGACAATGTGCATCCCCTGAGATTACCTGTAAAATATTTAGTACATACGGCATTGACTCTTTAGTTGCTAGAACACAGACAATCTGAGGATCATGGAAGAGGAGATTGAGTAGTGCTGGGGAGAGGTGGAGTGAGGAAAAACTGAGGGGTGCTGGAAGTAAGTGCTACTTTTTTTTTTCTTTTCACTAGTGAGTATGTGCACTCACCAGAGTGAGAAGCAGAGAAAGAAAGTAAGCAAACACCCCCATTAGGGGGAGCGTGCTGCAACCCCTTCTCCTCCACTTCTCCTTCCAGGATTTTGGGCACACATGCACACACATACCTGGCATGTTTCTTAAACTACTAGATCCAGGACTCAAACTACATAGTCAACATATAGGACCCAGCCACCTTAACCACTATGCCACTGGTGGGCACAGTAGGTACTATTTACCACTAGTACGGAAGAATTCTGTATTTCAGCAATTTAACAAGCTGGCTATCAGCCTTGCCATTTTGTTAACTACTTTCTTATTCAAACTATTAATACAAGGTAGTAAATCTTTAGATAACAGGTAAATGCTCTTTCTACTCCATGTTGTATTTTCTAACCATTCAGCATCTCACCAGCAGAGTCAACACTAAATGTGTGTTGAACAATGCAACTCAAGAATTACTTCTTCAGGGACCAGCAGTTAGCATAATGGCTATGTTGCTGGACTCCCATGTAGTCGACCGCGGTTCGAGTCCCGGACCCAGAGGCTTAAAACTTACTCCGGGCGCGTGTGCGCACATGCCCAAGATCCCAAGAGGAGAATGGAGGAGAAGGGATTGCGGCATGGCCATCCCCCCGGGGGGTGATTTCTTGCTTTCTGTCTCTCTCTGTCTGTCCGGTGAGCGCATGCACCCTATAGCAAAAACCTCTTCAAAAAAAAAAAAAAGAAGGGCAGTTAATCAAGTGCTACCTGGTATATACGTTCATGAACACATCAATCACACCACATGTTCACAGTTCAGGAATGCACTATCTCCCCTACTAGACTGAATATTCTAAGGCTGGGTTTGTCTAGCTCAGCTTGGTAATGTGATTGCACGTAATTGACAGTAAAAGTCTGTCCAATCAGCATACAAAGGAACTTTAAAAAGTCTGTAGTGGGGCCAGTAGGTGGTGTAGTGGTTTAGGTGCTGGATTACTGCGTGGTCGACCGTGATTCGAGTTTCAAACTGGGCAACTTGAAACTCATGCTGGTACATGTTCATGTATGCCCCAAATCCTAAGAGAAGAATGGATCAAGACATTGCCATCCCCCCAGAAGAGTGATTTATCACACTGCCTCTCTGTCTTTCTCAGTCTCTCTGGTGCGTGCATGCACCCTATAGCAAAAATATCTTTAAAAAATTATTTTAAGTCTGTGGAAAAATAGAATTAAAGTATGAGTTTATTTTGGTGCTAAGAAAAAGTTTTAAATGTATGCATAATTTTTCATAATGCATGTTTCCATGACCTTTTTGAAGACCACTTGTGCTAATGTTAGGCACTCTGTTAAGGATAAAAACTCAAGATGAATAAAACAGAAATTTGAACAGTCTACTGGTGTAGAGGGCACTAATGAAAAGATAAAACAGTTACCATGCAACTTAGCAGCAGGTGTAGAGCACAGAAGAGGTGCTGAAGGAGTAGAAAAGGCTGTGAATCCGATTCTACCCAGAAAAATCTGGGCAGGAGACCTTCCCAGAAAAGGTGTCATAGAGCTGTCTTCTAGGATAAATAGACCTCTCCTGCTGTGAATTATAAACATAATCCAGATCAAATGATTTCGGCCCCTGAAATTATTTCTACTCTGACATTACTGCCGGCTGTTTGGGATATGTGTATGTACTGAGTTTTATACATTTAATTTGTAACACATAAAATAGTGATTATACCTCAGGAGGATTGAACTATGCCATTCATTTTGATTTTATTTTTTCAAAAGTCATGTCAAATAATTTCACCAATTATTTCATGCAAATGTGTCATATATGGAAGAATTTTGAAGCTTTAATGAGTGGGAGCGAACTGTGTGATGCAGCGTTAATGTACTGCTCAGGAAAAACCAGATCCCACATAGCCACCCCAGGTCTAATTTCCTACCTAGTCTGCCAGAAATCTGCCAGGCACGGGCACAAGTGGCCAAAGTCTGACAGAACAGAAGAGTGGGCAGAGAATTGAGGCATCGCTAGACCCTGGAGAAAGCATCTCTCTCTCTCTCTGGAGGAAGTCAGTCTCCATCTGTCAAGCACAGCACATGCCCTACCACGAATAAAATATAATAATGCTCCATCTGTCAAGCACAGCACATGCCCTACCGTGAATAAAATATAATGTGTATATACACACACACACAAACACACACACATAAAATGATTGTTAGATTACAAAATTAAATTGGTATGCTCACTTTGGCCCGGTAAATGTAGTTTCCAACTTCATATGGTCAGAAAAAAATGTAAAGAAAAACTTTAATGGTCTATACTATAGATAGAGAACTTCACTAGCATTTGCCCATTTGAGGAGGACAGTGGAGACTGGCCTTTGACCATCAAACTTGTAAAATATTTCAATACCCTTAATAAATTACACTATTTACTTTAAAACAATGACATAATCTAGCGTAGTCAAAAGTAGAAAATTCTTCAAAAGGTTCTTCTCTGATTATTTTAGTCCAAAGCATACAAATCTTCACGTTTTTCTCTCTCCCTTCCTACTCATCTGCATGGACTTGGCGATGCCCTTTGACCTTATTCAGGTTTCTAATCAAAACTGCCTACCCCTGGGGTTTGCTGATATCCTTCTAAAGTTGTCACTACCCCTTTGGCACCATCTGTCTTCCTAGACCCCTACTGCTGCTTCATGTCCTCGATAGCACTCGCCCACCGTTGCATCACGTTCTCTCTGTGTGCCAATCAGAACGTGAGATGATGGGATTGGTGCTGCTCAGAACTGCTGGGTCCTCAGCGATGCCGGCAGCCTCAAGGTGATAGCCTCTCTTTCTTGTATTGTCGTTCCGTTCCATTTACTGTCTGCTTTGAACTTGTCTCCCTATTCTCATGTTTGGATCTTCCATTTCCTTATTTCATGTCTATAATCTTATTTTAAATATTTTTGTTTCATCATTTATCCTACATTCTAGATATCTTTCTCGGATGTATCTTTCCTATCACTAACTAATTTTCAATAATTATGAATAGATGCTTTTCTATTTTCAACATCATTTTCAAATTGATTTTATGTACTTCTTATTATAGGGTTGTTGTTCAGAAGCCAAGAGGTTCTGTTAACAAGGAGTCCTACCCATTCTGGGGCTGGGGAGTTTAGACTGAAAGGGTAGCTTTTTAAGTCCAGTTGCCAGAATCCAGATGTGATAAATATTCTTTCTTGAATCTAGAACCAAAACATATGCACACTATAGCTGTAGGGTTTATATCTCATCTCTACGAAACAGTTCCACTTAGGACAAGAGCATCTCTGGCTGCTCCTAAGAATTACTCTATCATGAATGAATTTTTGAATGTTTTTATTATTGTGATTAGTAACAATAGACCAATATTATAGGCCTGGGGGAAAATATAATGATCCAAGTTTATGAATGTGTCCTAAACTCCATACATGGGTATGTTTGCAAACATGCCTGGCATGATGTTCCAGCTGCTGATCTGGAACCCAATTTGTATAGATGACCATGTGAGATCCGGCCACCTTAACCTCCATGCCACCTGCTGGGCCCTCTCGTATGTCTTTTTAAAAATGTTTTTAGTCCTTTTTCATTTCTCTGCTTCAGTTTAGGTATTTTTTTCCTGACCTA